CATTTTTAACATAAATATATTGTATAAGCGTTACATTGACATGATAGACTCCAAATGAATGAGAAACAAAAGAGGATCAAAAACATTGAACTCCATGAATCTTGTATGCATTTATTAGGTACAAATTATGTGCCTATGATATACGGAGTATATGGGTAAATATATCAATAGTGTTATTAATATATCCATCTATCTCTATATATATATGCTATTCATGAACTTACATTTCATAGAGTATATGGTTGGTACTTCAAGTGGTATATATGCATGGAATGGACCCATTACAGATAGGATAACATGTGGTATTTATTTGCCGATTTATACTCCTCCAGCTGTGGCTGTTCTTGTCTATGACCTAAAAGGAAAAGTGGTCTCAGAGGCTCGGAGAGAATGTTTTTACTTCCACATTTTGTCATTTGAATATTGCTTTAATATTGGAACACAATAACATATTTTTTGGAAAGGAAAAAAAAAAAAAAAAACGTATTTCTCAAAAGAGATTGTTATTTTCATTTGTACATTTTTTTTTCTATGTTATATTGTGTGTATATCTCAAATGTTGCTTTTTTTATTTATTTACTTTGAAAAGAATTTCAGAAATTGTCTATAATTAATAAGATTGTATTTTATTTATCACCTCATGCATTCCATGAACTTGGACTTGAAACTAGGAATGTAGCTTTCAAAAACCCTCTTCCCATCAACACCTCCATCCAAACCACATCCTTATCATGAGCCAGCTGCATTTAAGGCAAGCCACGTGGATAGTTATTAGTCACCTGATTTTGTCTTGTGGGTCCCAATACATTTAAAAACTACATGATCATTATTAGTCACCTGATTTTGTCTCGTGGGTCCCAATACATTTAAAAACTTTTTTTTTTTTTTTAATTCCTTACTTAGTTAGTTGGTCGTCTAGTTCTAAGTTTTTCTTGTTTTAATTTGTCTGGATAAAATAATAATGTTACATTAAAAGTGTTTTTGTGAACTTATATATTTGGTTATTTGATTATTCTTAACTAGGGTGTGAATTCATATTGAGAATGGTCTTCGTAAATTTTGTCTATAACTCCCAATTTAGGGTTTTTATCACTTCAATTTGCCTCTAGTAAGTTCTAAAGTAGATTTCCCAAAGAAGAAAAAGACACTTCAAGAAACTCTTTTGGTGCTCTTTGAATTTTGTCATTTAAGATTTCCCATTCTTCACTGAGTTTGTGTGTGTGTGTGTGTGTGTGAGAGAGAGAGAGAGAGAGAGAGAGGGGTACATAAGAAGCTTAGCTTCAAAAGTCAAAACTAATTTGTAAGCATGGCTAAAAAGGTAGTACATGCACCATTTGCATGATCCTATGCACCATTTGCATGATTTCAAAACTGGTAGAGAGGGAATGTGTTGGATTAAGGAAAGACTGGGAGAGAGAGAGAAAAAAACTTGGTCCAAGTTGATTACTCTTAGTCATAGTCTTTTCTTTCTCACCAGAGGTTTGAACAAACTACACTTTAACTTCTTTTAAATTTGTTTGTCGACGATCAGAACGTGACTTTGAATATAAAAACTTAGTAACGCTCTTATATTATAATAATATCTTATATTGCATTTTATACAAATAAATGACAAAAATATCTATTTGTTAAATTTGGTCAATAAATCTACCGCAAAGAAATCGATAGGAGTGTCATTAACAATACGCATCAAATTTCAAGAGAGGTTAAAGTAATAAAATATTAATAGTCTATCAATGTATAATTTGTCCAAACTTAAGAAGATGCCAGTATAATTTATTCTATTATCTTCACACACAAATCACACATAGAAAAACTCCAATTTTCTCTTTTTCTTTCCCTTTAGTATTGGCCGACATGTGTATGAAAGTTTAAATTCGAACAATTAAGAGAGGGTAAAAGAGTAATTTAGGATGGTGCAGATCTAAGTTTTGGGCCAAGAGAAAATTCCAAAAAGAGGAAGGACAGTTGAGACAGAGGGCCCTTGATATCCGGCCTGAGCTCGGTCGTCCACATGCACTCAAGAGAGAAGAGATTAGCTGACGTCTTTTGTCGGCCCATTTTGCAGCATATCTTGAGCCTATAGGCCCACATCCTAACTTCCCCCATAAAAGCCCAGAAACAAGCCATGATCATCTGTTTTTTATTAGGTCAGATAGATTTTCTAGTATTACCCAGCTTGAACCCTTCTTGTGGACCCCAAATCCATGATCATTGGACCCACAAATCCTCGTGACATGCTTCCCCAATAGTCTTCAAATATGAAAAAGAGCCTCTCTTTGTATCATAGTAGGGGTATTTTTGTCATTTTGAATTTAGGATATAAGGTTGATCCAAACATACCAAAACTATACTTGGGAACAATATGCTTCAATTTTAATGTGACGACGAGTTATCTCACTGACAGGTTATAAAGTGTCACGATTTCATTTCGCTTGGAAAAGGTGAAGTGTTATATGTAAAGTTTAATATTTTTTTATCATACAACACATTCTATGAACTCTAAAGTTAAATATGTTTACTCTGAAGTAGTACGAAAATAGGTGACCTCCTGTGAAGTCTATGATCTTACATCCATTTCCGTAACACTGATTTAATGCTCTTAAACGCAACATGAACTCTTTTAATATACGTACTCAATGAAGCAAAAGCTTAATATGTATATAACATAAATGTTCGGTACATCTTTGTACGATTTCGAATACTCAAAAAAAGGTAATTTTAAGTGCCAGAATCTAGGTTCGAATAAGAGAAAGAGGTAATTTTAAGTGCCAGAATCTAGGTTTGAATAAGAGAATGAGCACTAGATACAATATAAGGATACAAGTTGGGGTTTTTTTTTTGTGTTTTTTTACACGGGGGAGACAAGGTTTGAATAATTATTTGTTCGTGTGCCCTTGTGCTTAGAAATGTCCAATTCAGTGGTCTATGTACCTAAATTCTTAATTCCTAAAGAGTGACAATAAAAAAATGACTGTCGTTGTCATTACCATTCTTTCTCAATTACTATGATACAATTGGTGATGAGGTGAACACACATAAATTGAAAGAGAAATCACCCTCAGATGATGTGATATCTAAGAAGAGTCACAATTGGTTAATTACAATTTCGAAACATACCCATAACTTTTAAATGAAGCATCATTATTAAAATTTTCATGGCACAATTAATTTTTAAATAAATTACACTTATTTCCTCTCTAAGTTGAATTTGTTACATTCACTTTCTCAATGTGTTTTGGCATATTATAGTTACCCCTCTAATTTGCTCGTTTATAACAAAAATCCTCCATCGGTGACATTTATGGTGAGCAATGGTCAGACATTGACAAATTTGAAGATTTTTATGACAAAAATTTTCTTGAACTTTTTTCATTTAAGTTTCGTTTGTTTTGACGTAAAATATTCTTTTTAAAAAATATTTTTCTTTTTCAAGTAAAATATTCTTTTATTTTTAAAATATTCTTTTATTTTGAAAAATATTTTTCTTTTTCAAGTAAAATATTCTTTTATTTTTACTTTGTCGGTGTTTGGCAAAAGTCTACTTTGAAATTGAAGTCGAGTCCATCGGGCGAGGCATGTAAAATAACTTGTCGAAAATTAATAAATGAGTTATTTTTGTTAAATTTTAATGTTTTTTTTCTTCGTAAATATTTTACAACAACCAAACAACAGAAAATAAAAAAATATTTTATGTCCAAACAAACGGAGCCTTAAAGTTACATTTATATTATGATAAACACATAAGGGTAATTTCACATAACAGACTTTACCGTCTATGACTTATAGAAGATAAGTGTAAGAAACCCAAATTAAAAGAGAGATAAGTGTAATTTACTTTTTTTGCTTTTCTTATTTATTTATTTATTATTATTATTATTTTTTGGATGGTAAAAGAAACAGGGATACCCATATTTTGAGAAAGAAAAATTTATTATATAAATATAATTTGCATGACACCTTTGTATTGATTGTGCAATCCAACACCAATGTTGGTTTTGAATCCAATAGATTTACAAGATCTCTCGCAATCACAATCCTCAGATTGGTAGATCATGAACACCTAAATCAAATTCTAAAATAAAAAAACTCAAATTGTAGGGTCATTGAGAAGCATTTTGCAGGGTCATTCAGAAGCATTGTGTGGGACTTCTGCCACCCCAGCCCATCCCTTTGATTCACATGATTTCATCAAATCAATCATTCTATATATATATATATATATATATACTCCTTACAGTATATAATATGCATGTACATGTGTGTATATACACACACATATATAACTTATATTATACTGTAAATCATAGACACCCCAAATTAAGCAAATCAATCACATGTGTAGGCTTAAACACTTCACTTCATTTGAATGACAAATCATAGAATCTTATCAAATAATAATTGTTTGATATAATGATATCTCCTTCATATACACTATACCATTAGAAAATAATATTAAAATGTAATATTTGGAGGATAAGCAACCATTATTATCTAAAATGCACATGGTATGCTTCATTATAATCTATAACCCAAAAATAAATAAATAAATAAAAATAATAAATTTGTATTGGATACTACCGGTCCAGTTAATTCCATATTGGGTTTTTTTTTTCCTCCCATTTTGGGTTGACGAATTACGTATTGTATGATAGTCAGACATATATCAAGAAGGAATAATTAAGGTTAATTTAGACTTTTCATATTCAACAGTAACAAAATGACAAAGATGTCCCTGTAACTAAATCAAACGAAAGCAAAAACCGTCGTGGCCTTTGCAGCATCATTGGAATCGAAGCCATGTGAGTCCTAACAGCATTTGTCTCGAAGCCTAACATCATAGGATATACAAAGTCCAAAAGGGCAAACGTGTCATTACATAATCCCATGTGACATTTCTGTTAAGAGTGATGGTATTAACGTTATTATCTCAAAATCTATGGGCTTTCTTGAAGTTTGGCATGCATAAAACCCCATGTCCACCGCCTTTTCGACTCAAACCAGCCCACCTCTCTCTCTCTCTCTCTCTCTCTCTCTCTCTCTCTCTCTCTCTCTAAACTCACTGTGATTCACAATGCGAGCAGCTACAGTACTGTCGGTGCTATTATGCGCCACCTTCCATATCTCCTTAGCCATCACTGACGGTATGCTTTAGATCAAAATGACAGAGATATATATATATACATATATATGTAATTTTTATATATTTCTCATTTGAGTTATGATAACATCTAACATCAATCCTACTATGATGTAAGTCTTTTACTTAGATTAATATGTCTGAAGAACTAGTACATACTATTATTTTTGGAATTGAAATGTGCTTCACAACTCTTAAATGTGTTAAAATATAATTTTTTTGGTTTTAACAACATTATTTTTCTTATTTCAATTATATTTTCTTGCTTTATGACCAAAGCCCATATTTTCATTCAAGTAAATTTTTTTTTGGGAAGTAATTAAGTAAATATTTTAGGAGTAAAAATGTCATTTCAGTAATGCACATGAGATGCTACGTAAACTTTGAGCTGCAAGTTTCTCTGCTTTGTAAGACCCACTGGCTCTATACTACACTTGTGGTCATCCTGTGTCATACACTCTGTTTTTGCACTTCTTGTAATTAGAGACGAAATAAAGGGTAATTTTGTCCATGTGATATTTTAAAGCTAAAATTCTTTGGGCATGACTTATAGAAGTAGTTCAAGTAGGCATGTGCATTTGATTTCTTACAAAGCTCCCCAACAGCATCTGTATTGAGTGTAAACATAAAATTTCCATTTTACCCTTTAAATTACAGGATTATTACGGAATGGCAACTTCGAGCTCGCCCCAAAGTCCTCGGACATGAAAGGCACGGAGGTGCTGAGGCACGATGCCATCCCAGAGTGGGAGATATCGGGCTTCGTCGAGTACATAAAGGCGGGCCAGAAGCAAGGCGACATGTTGCTGGTGGTGCCGGAGGGTGCCTTTGCAGTAGGCTAGGGAACGAGGCGTCGATAAAGCAAAATTTGAAGGTAACCAAGGGAATGTACTATTCCATCACCTTTAGTGCAGCTCGAACTTGTGCTCAGGAGGAGCAGCTTAACGTGTCCGTGGCACCGGACTCCGGCGTGCTACCAATGCAAACCATGTATAGTAGCAATGGATGGGACTCATATGCATGGGCCTTTCAAGCCATGTACGATGTGATAGAGATCCTCATCCACAACCCCGGCAAAGAGGAGGATCCGGCTTGTGGACCACTTATCGATTCAATTGCAATTCGAACCCTATACCCTCCTAAATCAACCAATAGTAAGTTATTCCTAACACACGCATTCACCATATTTATACGAATCGTCTTTTCAATTTTAAAAGATGATAAAGTACCAATATACTATAGTTCTTGATAACCAGACCCTCTAATTTTCACATTTTACACTTCAGATTATAAATTATAATTAAATTTATTTCCTAGATAAAGGTCAAAGTTATAACTTTATTTCCATGTTGGTTCCTAATTTGCTTAACTCCACATGTTGAATTGTCTTTCATTAATTTGAACTTCAGGCCCCACTCATGTTATCTTACACTCCAGCCTAGCTTTATACATGTTGCAGTAGATTGTTGGCTGTCCTAGTCCTTAAAACCCATCACTCATGTGCCACTAATTAAGACATCCATGTACATATATATATATATAGACACAGATCTGTACTAGTGGCACAATTATATATATCGAGCCCAAAAATTAAATGCTTTGTCCATTCAAACATTAATTAAATTTTCATGTGACAGAGAACATATTGAAAAATGGGAATTTCGAAGAAGGTCCGTATGTGTTCCCCAACACATCATGGGGTGTACTCATCCCTCCCAATATTGAGGATGATCACTCTCCACTCCCCGGTTGGATGGTCGAATCTCTCAAAGCCGTCAAGTACATAGACTCGGACCACTTCTCGGTACCACAGGGCCAACGTGCGGTGGAGCTCGTGGCGGGAAAAGAGAGTGCCATTGCCCAAGTGGTCCGAACCATCCCTGGCAAGACGTATGAGCTCTTTTTCGCGGTAGGAGACGCTAGCAACTCCTGCGAAGGGTCCATGATCATCGAGGCATTTGCCGGGAAAGACACCCTTAAGGTGCCCTACGAATCCAAGGGCAAAGGTGGCTACAAGCGCGCCGTGCTCAGGTTTGTGGCCGCGGCCACGCGCACACGTATCATGTTCCTTAGCACCTTCTACACCATGAGAAGTGACGACTTCGCTTCCCTCTGTGGCCCTGTTCTTGATGATGTGAAGCTGTTGAGTGTTCGGAAACCGAGACGATTGATGTGAAGCCATTAGTACTGCAGATATACCGAGTGAAGTGTGCTGAATCTTTTGGTTATTTTGCTGAGAATTTTTTTTTGGTTATAAGGGAAGCAAGGAAAGAAGGGTTGCAGTTTCAAGTTAGAATACTTTTTACATAATTATGTTCTGTACCATGCTTATTATCAGTATGGTATGTATAGATATATAAATTAATATATAGTGGTGTGATTTTAATTTTATTGAGTGGTTATGTACTTCAGCAAAATGAATGAATGGAAAAAAATTTAAATTTATTCAAGTTTTTCTGGTAGTTTATTTATTTAGTTTTATATTTGCAAGAAATTAATAGTGGAGTAAGAGGAGGACATATTATGTGACTAGCAATATTGGATGGAAATTCTACAATACTCTCCAAGAGTATTTTTGATTGGAAATGGTAGCACGGGTCAAAATATTCTCGGAACTACTGTAGAATTTGCTGGAAGGAACACCAGTAAGTACCAAGGGCGGAGGGAGGGGTGGGCGTCCACCCCAAAAAATTTTTTTTTTTTTTTTTTAATACACTACTTTCAGCCCAACCCAAAAAAAAAAAATTTAGCCCACCCAAAATTAGCCCAATCCTAAATTAGCCCACCCCAATCAAAAATCTTGAATCCGCCCTTGCCAATAACCTTTTTTTGGTTCTTGTTAAGGTAAATGTTATATGGATTGAGATAAAAAAAATATATATATATATATATATATGTATACACACACAGGGCCAGGACAAAAGCCCAATCACCACAAGAGCAAAACAAAGGCCGCAAAAACTCAGCCCTGCAAGTAGGAAAAGCCCAAGAAAACAAAACTGCATGACTATAATTGTCACATTTCGTATAGATATTGTCCGTATTTCATTTTTTCTAATGTTAACTAATATAAATGTGAAGAAAAATGTTTTTTTCCCGAACGACATGGGACGTTATAATAATAGCCTCAATAAAATCAAAGAAAGATGAAAAATGCCCTTAATTCTTGAAGAGTCTCTTGTTCCTTTGCCCCAAAATAAAGTAGAAAAAGCTCACTATGGGTTAATGGTTCAGGTCTAATCACACTGAAGCATGAAATGTTACCTTTTATATCTACTTAGGTTGTGATGATCATTGATTAGGTACTGAGATATAGACTCTCATTTTTTATTATTATTATTACTATTTTTTGCTTTAGTTCACGAACAATAATTAAAGAGAAACAAATGTGTTAATCAAAAGGTTACAATCATCTACTTTAATGCAGTCATATTAGGATTAAGGAAGCGGATGTGAAGGAAAAAGAAAAAAAAAAAAAGGGGGAAGCAGGGGAAGGAAGAGCTGACACAGTATGGAGTGGACTGCTGTGTTCTGTAGGAATGGGGCATTGCTGGATCTGTGTGTGTAGACACTGTGTGGAAGAAACTCTTCAAAACATTGTACGTGATGTAAGTGTAGGGAAACGTGCAAATTTTAAAAACTTTTCGAGGGATTTTGATTCATAAATCTTGATTCATTACATAGAGACAAGTTTTATGCGAAAATAAAAATATGATGTAATGGATTGAATACTTACATCAAAGGTCTGAGTAAATCTTTAAAACTTTCCTCTGAAGTGAATGTTCTCACTTATTGTAGATCCCTTAGCAAGATGCCTTCTCCTTGAATCTCCATCTTCTTGGTAATTATTTTGCCTTTAGGAATTACTCATAAACTTCTATGAATGACCTTGGAAAACTAGGCTTGTGGGAGCTTCCATTAGATGAGAACATAAACCCTAATTTTCTAGAGAGAGAATAAATATTTCTTTTTCCTTCTACTAAAAATCACCCCTAAAATATACATGGTCATAAAAGTAAAGAAAAAGAAATAACTAATCCTTCTCAATTTCTAATTCACGTCTCAAATCTAATATGATTCTAATATCAAGTTGGGCTATGAGTGAGAATCCATTGGGCCTATTATTTTATTGGCTGCAATGAATTAATAATTGGCCCGGTCCATGGACCTAATTCAATTAATTTATAAATTAATTTCTACTCCACTAAAAGAAATTAATTGAACTCCAATTAAATAATAAATAACCTCTAAGTCAATATTGCACTTTGACCCCTCTATGCATAATTAGTTATCGGATAAATAAAGCCATCAATTTGACTACTTAATTAATATATTTATTTTGGTACCTTTGATTATTTCTGGCTCGATCACAATAAAATATTTGTTTGACAAAAATAATAATTTAAATAAATAAATATATAATAAATCATTTTGTCTAAAAACACACGAAGGTCTTTGAATTTACTTTGTGATCAACCATAATCAATACAAAATAAATACAAGTAGCAATGATGCAAATATTGAAAACTGACCAGTCCTTTACAAGGGTCGCGATACCAAGTCAAGCTTGAAGAGTTGTGAATTTAGGAGGTGGCCAAGTTTTACATTTATAGAAAGCCACTACTACCTTTCTCTATATAAAATATAGATAGGGCGAGTAGGGATCGTCCCAAGAAATTTGATGGTGTATCGAATTGTGAAACTATGGTAATTAGGGTTAGTAGGTCGAGTGATCACACAATTGATTGGCTGATTGATTAAGCTAAATTGAATTCAACTAAATAAAATAATATGAAGTAAACAAGAGAGAGAGGTCTTGGGGTGTAGAGATCACCACCAAGCAATACTTTTCTATACTACTAACAAGTGATCAATTGAGGGTAATGGATGTGTTGCAATATGATAAGGGTGTGTGTGTATTAGGTTGATTCAATTGGCAAGGATGACAAATCAAGCAAGTATTGTCAAAACATCATGTGAAGAACACAATATATCTAAACAATAAAGCATATATTGTCTAGACAACATGGGGATAGCATAATAGATCAAAACAAGTCATTAATCCTTCACTAAACTCACAATCCACATACAACACAATATTAGAGGAATATGCCATTTGGACTCATAAGCATGGAACATCAAACATCAAGAGTAGATTGTCCTCCCATCTAACATTACACTACCACTACACTAAATCTACACTACTAGCATGAAAATAAAGCTATCTAGACTAGGGGAGAGGCACAAACCATCAAGAATAGGCATAAACCATCAAATGAACCAAAATAGCATTCATTAAGCATATCATCTTGATAATCTCTAGATCTATAGCATCAATATACATAGGCATGCATAAAAAATACTAAATCTAGAGATAAGCACATGAATATCCTACTCTAGTATACATAGACATATGGATAGAATAGAATAGTCAATTGGAAGCATTAAACCATACAAACCATGAAATAATCAAGATTTATATATACATGAATATCAAGATGTATCATACAACACTAATCCCTCAATAATACACAAGATTAGAGTATATGAAGCATGCTTGGGGCTAACTCTAGCCCCAAGAGGATGTCTAGTCACTCATGGTAGTGATGATCTAACCCTCAAGGGCTAACTCCATGGCTGCTCCTTGTTGGTGAAGATCTCCTCCAATGGTGCTCTAGCTTCCCTCCTTCCTCCTCTCCAAGAAGAGCCTCTAAGATCAATTTCAATGTGTGACAAGAGACTCCCTCAAAAAGTGTATCATATTCCTTATATAGGTAGGTCAAATACACCCCAAGATGAGCTATGGTCGTGCAAAGTATACTCTCCAATGATTGGATAAAGGACGGAATAAATGAGCTGGACTTTAACTTTTTCTCGCTGGAGAAAGTTCGATCGATCGAACCTTAACTTGGATCGATCGAAAATGGGTTCGATCGATCGAACTGTATCTTGGATCGATCGAACTGGTCTGACTCCTCCGGATAATGACAAAGTTGGGATATTTTTAAGATATTTATGGGGAAAAAGGCAAAAGTGGTTGGTAGGCGTACAGCTGTGGATAAGATCAATCATTTGAATAGGACAAAATAGAGTTCGATCGATCGAAGGTGATGTTCGATCGATCAAACTTGGAATTTCAGCAAAGGCCAAGGTTGGATCTATTGAGAAGTACTGTGATCGATCATAGATGTTCGATCGATCGAACTCTAAGTTGGATCGATCGAACTTTTCAGCTGCACAACTTGATTCCTTTTTGCTCCTTTCTTTCTCCACTTTGCTCCCTCCTTTGGTTTATCTCAGAATTACTTCAATTAAGCTCTTATTTGGCTGAGTTAGCTAAATTTTGGGATTAGTGCCTGAAAATATAAATAACACGTAATAAGTCTAAAACGGCAAAATAAGATAGATAAAGGTACTAGAATGCTTAAGCTTAACGGGTTTAAATGCGCACTTTTCAGTGCTCATCACACCCCTAAACTTAAATATTGCTAGTCCCTAGCAATGAACTAAGAAGTAAAGGAATGAAATAAACAACTATACAAGTATAAACTGGAAAGCAAGTAAAATGATAAGACCATTTTCGTAGGGAATACGATTGCATTTAGCATATGCAACAAGCCTTTTAAACCCCTAGGTTACCCCTAGTGGACGAGTAAAGTCTCGTGAGGGTTTCCAGAAATGGTACCCACAAACATTAAGCTCATTCTTTCAAAAGAGGCACCAATATTGCAAACAAGCATTGGGAGAAAACTACCTCAAGTATGCAATTTTTCAACCGTTTCTAAGCAATCTCCCAAAATTTCAATATCAAACAAGCAAGTATGGTCCTCCACATATCAAGAAAATGATCATGAAAATCAAAACAAGTCTAGAATCCATGTGAGAGGTCCGACATCAAGTTTGTTGCTATTTTAGCCAACTAGAAAAGTAATTACATCCTTACCCTCAAACTAGCACACAAATCTAGTACCGATCATCAAGATAAGAGAGTGGACCTTTTATTAAAGCTTTATTGTTCTAGGTGCGCTTATTCTTTTCACTCTTTTTCTTTTTCTTTTTTTATTTTTATTTATTGAGGATCAAAGATGGAAATATTGTGCAATGTGTTGATCTCTTAAGCTTTCTAGAAGATTCATGTAGCGAGCTTTTGGTCAATGACTCCCAAACCAGATGGCTTTAGGGCATTAGGTGTTAAAACACCCCTACGGACTTACAAACTCAAATCAACTAGGCTACAAATTAAGACAAAAACCATCTAATCATTTCCTACTTCTCACCTTTTGGGAGAAGTCCTCACTTTTATTGCTTTTACAACTTCTTCTTCTTCTTTTTTTTTTTTTTTTTTAATCAATTATTAACCTAGAATTTGGGCCCTCCACCTTTCGGCGCGAGAAGTTCACTGCTTAATGAGGCAAGAATCCCGGCTACTCAATGAAAAGGGGTTGTTATC